CCCTCCAGTTACTCCAATCCTTTCGCCCATCCCTTCACCAATCCTTTCGCCCATCCCTTCACCAATCCTTTCGCCCATCCCTTCACCAATCCTTTCGCCCATCCCTTCACCAATCTTTTCGCCCATCCCTTCACCAGTCCATTCCCCAAACCCACCAATCCGTTTGCCCAATTCGCCTGTCCAGGATTCCTGCCTGTTATCGCCCTCCGTTCCCTTTGCCTCCTTATAGAGTTCCCCGCTACTGCTCATCAGCCTTCCTGAACCTCCCGTCCTGCCTGCCCCACGGCCGCCCGAGCCACCTGCCGAACCATGCAGAGGCCCGGACCTGGCTCGGTATCTCAGCCTGCGTTGCCCCGGGCCAGCAGGCTCGGGCCCCGAACCTGCACTAGCAGACGCAGCACCACCACCCGCAGTAACTGCTTCCACCGCTGATGACGTGTCCGAGCCTGCTGACCCAGCAGTGGCTGCTGATTCAGCAACAGGGCCTGCTGACTCAGCAGCAAGGCCTGCAGACTCAGCATCGCCCATCCTCAGGGGGCCAGATCGGGACCGCAATCTCTTGCTGCTGCTGCTGCCGACCAGCCTATCCACTTCTGCCACGTCCCTCAGTGCCTGAATCAAATCCATCTTGGCTGGGTCTCTAACGCCCTGTTTTTCCATAAGGAATGAGAGAGGGCCTAGCAGTTGCTGGGATGGGACAGAGGATTGCTCTTGCTGCTGCCCTTGCTGCTGCTCGTGTGCATGCGGCTGCTGCTGTGGCGGTTGCTGCTGCTCCAGCTTCTGTTGCCGCTGTTGCTGCTCCTCCTGCTGTTCCTCTTGCTGCACCGGCCGTTGCCCCTCCACCCCAACTGTCCCCACTGCGCCTATCACACTTCCCCAACCCGATGTCGATGTGTACGGGTGCCTCAGAAAGCGTACGTTGCCCCTCCAGCTTCACAGGCACCCCTGCGCCCGTCCCACTTCCGCGTCCCGCTGCCTTTTCCGATGCTCGTCTGGAAAACGCCGCCGCTATCGCTTTACTAAGCATACCGCCAGCAATACTGGCGGGTTTCGCGGAAGCTGCGCGGGACGAGGAGGAGGGGGCGGAGGAGGAGGAAGAGGAGGCGGAGGAGGAGGAGGGGAAGAAGGGGAATGGGGAGGAGACGCCTGGGCGAGGGTGGTAGGCGAATGAGATGGATATTCGGGCTGTACTCGGTATAGCGCGGCCCTCGTTGTCTACAGTGGTGAGCGGAAATTCTTGCTCGCCTTGCTTCTCTAAAGCGTCTCTGTTGGGGGGGAGGAGGGAATGGAAAGAAAAGGAGTAAGGGGAGGTCGAGGGATGTGGGGGGGAGGTGAGGAGGCGACTCGAGGAAGTTGGGGGGAATACACGAACCCTTCAAAGACGAAGAACGATAGTAACATCCTCAAAATTCGTGCTCATCTATTCACTCGTGCACTAAATACCTTAACGGAATGTACACAAACGCGAGCAGCTGGTCCTCCGTGGTGCCTCGGTGGTGGCTGGCGAACCAAACCTCGCATTTAACCTCGGTGGCACGCTCGGGAATCCCAACCTGCAGGCAGGTACGGGAAGGCAAAAAGAAAAGAATACATGTGCATGAAAAAATCGTACAGCAAAGAAAGATTGAAAAACAAGGGAGGGGGACGAGGTGGAGGGGGGGGGGGGGGGGGGTGGGGGGGTTTGGGGGGAGAAGGGAAGCAAGACGGAGTTGATTATTCTAAAAGACTTTGTTGTACTACCTGTAGCCGTCGATCAAAAAACTGGGTTTACCTGCAGCCGTTGATCGAAGACTGGGTCCGTGCCTCCTCCCTTGATCGCCCGCGTCGTGAGTGCGACTCGTCCGAGCGGGTCCCGATCACCGCACAGCACCTTGGCGTACACATCTTGAGCCCCGAGTGTGGACCGATTCGGTAGTCTCTCAGCCTGAAGGATATGCACATCGAGAATACCTACTAATTGCCCGCCTTTTCTCGCCATGTCGCTTTATTCAATAAGGCGTTTATTCAGATCGTCTTTCTCAGTCGTGATTTATTCGGTGAGACCACTATCGTCCCTCTCTGCCATGCCGGGCCTTACGGACACGAATAAATATTACTCGTAGTGTTCACTAGCCTCGAAAAAAAAACGAAGGCCGGCAAGACGTTTAATCAGTCTCAGGATTTTCCGCGACGATATTCCGCGACAGGATAATTGCTAAGCTCGTGAACTGGGTAGCCATAAAAACACGCGGAACACGGATCGTCGTAAGATTTCGATGTGGACACTTTAAGAAAAGGGAGGAAGTAATATAAATACGCAGATTATCGAAAGACGCGCTTCTTCGAGAAGAGATCGCGACTAAATAGACGGCGGCGAAGACTTGGAGTTGCTATAGCTGGAATAGAAAAGCTTCCCAAAAGTCGTTTAGCAGAGAAAGCTTCGAATCCAAAAAGGTATGGGCATCTACGGGTGCAGGCGTGAGACAAGCAGACAAGCTCAGCCGAAACACCATGGACAAATGAATTCGACACGCTTTCTGGTTTCGAGCACGTTTGACATCGAAGCTGGCGAAGCTGCGAGCTGCAGAAGAGACTAAATACACGTGTATCTGAAGCCATGGTGGTGTCGAGATTCCTGGAGGGAGGGATGATGTCCGTGCGCGTGCACGCAAGCTTGGGCGGGAAGAGTCGACTCGGAATAGTTGCGTGTGATAGGGAGGGAGCACAGCAGAGTGGGGTGTGTGTAGTGGAGGAGAACGAGACACTGGAGGAGAGCAGAGCAGACAGAAAGACAACCTAGAGATTGGGTTGGGGGTGTGTGGGGGGTGCAGCTGGTTGAGTCGAGGTGATTTTGGTTCGGTGGAGCAAAATCTGGGACAGAGGGTTGAGTTACGGGGTACGGATAGGTTTAGAAAAGGTCTCTTTGGTTCGGAGATGGTTAGGGCTAGGTTGGGATATGGGGCCGACCAGGAGAACAGTAATTTGAGACTTCAGAGCCCGATGGGCTTGAGCCGAGTCATTGTGGTTTTGGTTTGGGGGGGAAAGCCCACCAGACCAGAATCCAGACCAGAAGTCCCGACTCCCGAAGCCCTACACTCGAAACTGGCTCAATGTGAAAGGACAGTGTGAAGTGTTCAAGAGAGGTATGGCGAACTGCCGGGCAGCATCGCACGGTGGTGGTGAGCATCGAGCGGCAGGGGCAGATGAAGGAGCGGCTTCGAGTGCGTTTGCTGGCGACGGCGGAAGTTCATCCGCGCTGAGCGATTTTCTCTCGGCGGCGAAATCGTGGGTTTTGTTTAGCCCTAACCCAGACCAGCACATATCAACCGAACCAGGAGCAAACAACCATCACCCAGCCACCACAAACCAGATCGTGGTTCGTGCTCAGCACGGTCCAGCAGAGACGCGCTGCGTCCGAACTTACCGCAAATTTTATAGAGCCAATGAAAAACATTTAGGCTGACCATTTCCTCACGGAGTTTACGACCTTCCTCGCACCCGCCTCCCTCACATCAGACCCCTTTTCCCAAGGAACTTCGGCTAGGAGGACCAAAGTTCGGTTGCGGGGGGAAAGTTTTGGCCGCTTAACAAAAGTTTTGGCCGTCACTGCCGTAACTCCACTGGGGACCGATTTGCTTGTCACTGCGCGTTCGGCATTCTGCTGACTGGAAGCCGTCAAAGTGACTGCAGTCAGATGACTGCCACGCGACGCCGCGAGGCTTTCAGCAGCGCTCGTTTGATGGTTTCACCGAGCCTCCTGACTTGACGGCAAAGTCAGGCTCGGTAAAAGCCGTGGCGACGAGACTCGGCTGACGCGACACGAACCCTGTCGAAGTGGTCGGCGCGAAAGCCACTTATGTGGCAAAACTCGGAATCGACGCGACCAAAACCACTGGGGATGGGTTTGTGTCGGTGAAAAGTTACCTGCGATAAAGGTGTTTTCGTTTGCGCGATGCACCAACACCTGAAACAAGTTCCACACTACTATACCGTGCATTATTCCTCTCCACGTTTTATTCCCCCATTGCATTCAATTTGCCGTTCCTTCGCGTAGAGCCATCCTCAAGATTATTCTTCCCAAAATTGTCCGCTCTTTTCCCCTTGCCAACCCTCAAGGGAACCTAACCTACACTATAAGTTCACCAGTTGAGCTTCTGAGGCGGCAACTGATTGTGTATTGCTCTCGGCCAAACACAGAGCTCCACTTGTACAAGTTGGATCGACAACAACAGAGTGTTACTGCCACGGAGAGAAGGATGTGGGGCGTATGATCTGCTTACTAATGAGCCTAAGGTCTGATGGTACATGCTTTGCTGTAACAACACAAGAGTTACTAGCCTGCAGCAGATGGTGGAGCAAACGACCAGAGACAAAGTGGGGACAGGGAGGCAAAACATATATGAGAGAGTGAATAATTATCTAATCATAGCACGACAAACACAACCCAAAATCAGGTGTTTCCATAGGGAAAACGGCACAAAAAGGTGCTTAACTAGAGGCAAGACACCTTCTGAACTACCAAGACAAATAAAAGCAAGAGAGGGAGCCGAGGCGACTTTGACTTAGCCGGCAGGCACAGATCAGGGCTTCAACGAGAGCACTATACAGCAAAAGGGAAAGCAGCAAACGAGAGACAGAGGGATGGGAGGCGAGAGGAGCCATAGAGGAGAAGTGTGTGCGACATCGCTAGGGCCGCCAATCACAGAGTGTGATGATGATGGGTGCCCCAACCTTATCGTCCAGCTAGGTGAGACGACTTTTTACGTGCATACAAATCACAGCTCTAGAGAGGCAATCAGAGTGTATTGAAGGGTGCCCCAACCTTATCGGCCAAGTAACAGTCGGTGGTGCTGCTGTGCTGCCAATCACAGCTCTAGGGCCGCCAATCACAGCTCTAGGGCTGCCAATCACAGCTCTAGGGCTGCCAATCACAGCTCTAGGGCCGCCAATCACAGCTCTAGGGCCGCCAATCACAGCTCTAGATCATGCCACCGACAGAGAGTGTTGAAAGGTGCACCAACCTTATCAGCCAAGTAGCAGTCAGTGGTGCTGCTGTGGCGCCACAGCTCTAGGGCACTGTATGGCCTGAAAGCAAGGGTGGGGAGAGTGGGGAAGCAGCAAGGTCAGAGTGTGATAGAAGGTGTGCCAGCTTGTCGACTCAGTAGCAGTCAATGATGCTGCTGTGGCACGAGAGTGAACAAAAGCAGACATGGAGATGAGAGGGGAGAGAAGATGAGTGTTAGAAGGGTGCGCAAGCGTGTCGGCTACAGTCGGAGGGTCAGTCGGCTAACGGACAGTCGCTGGTGCTAGGGTGGTGCCACAGCTCTAGGGCACCATGTGGACTGCAAGCCAGCAAGGGTAATGTGAGTGGGAGTGAGTAACAGTCACAGGAGAGTAAAAAGACAGGAGGTCAGGAGAGAAAAAGCATGAGAGAAAACACAATTTTGATAGAGAACAAATAAAGGAGCAATCATGGGAGCATAGTTTGGCATCAAAGAAGCTCCTAACGAGGCATAGAACGGGTCCAGAAACACATTTAATGTGCGTGACAGCTCGAAAATGAGCATTTGTAACAAGCTGATAGTAAGCTTAATCGCATTCCATTAGTACGACCCTGGAAAAGCACATTTCACAAGTGTGACAGGTAAAAGTGTGGAATGTTGCCCAGCATCAGAGCAGCCAATAAAGAGGCAGCAAGAGGAGGGACCAGGCGAGTCGAGAGTTGTGGAAGTGCAAGCTTGCACCCAGCAATTCCGGAGTCAACTAAGAAAACTTTTGAGGCACCTTTTGAGGCGCCTCAAAAGTGGGACCAGGCGAGTCGAGAGTTGTGGAAGTGCAAGCTTGCACCCAGCAATTCCGGAGTCAACTAAGAAAACTTTTGAGGCACCTTTTGAGGCGCCTCAAAAGTGGGACCAGGCGAGTCGAGAGTTGTGGAAGTGCAAGCTTGCACCCAGCAATTCCGGAGTCAACTAAGAAAACTTTTGAGGCACCTTTTGAGGCGCCTCAAAAGTGGGACCAGGCGAGTCGAGAGTTGTGGAAGTGCAAGCTTGCACCCAGCAATTCCGGAGTCAACTAAGAAACATTGCAGAGGAGAACGTTACCCGGCATCAGAGCAGCCAATAAAGAGGCAGCGAGAGGAGGGAACAGCTGCCATGCGTGCAGAGAGGCTGTGAGAGAGGGGAAGGGCAGGGCAGGAGTAAGAGGGAGAGGGATGCAACGGGGATGATTGAGGGATAACGAGGCAGCGAGAGGACGGAGCAGCCGCCATGCGTGCAGAGAGGCTGTGAGAGAGGGGAAGGGCAGGGCAGGAGTAAGAGGGAGAGGGATGCAACGGGGATGATTGAGGGATAACGAGGCAGCGAGAGGACGGAGCAGCCGCCATGCGTGCAGAGAGGCTGTGAGAGAGGGGAAGGGCAGGGCAGGAGTAAGAGGGAGAGGGATGCAACGGGGATGATTGAGGGATAACGAGGCAGCGAGAGGACGGAGCAGCCGCCATGCGTGCAGAGAGGCTGTGAGAGAGGGGAAGGGCAGGGCAGGAGTAAGAGGGAGAGGGATGCAACGGGGATGATTGAGGGATAACGAGGCAGCGAGAGGACGGAGCAGCCGCCATGCGTGCAGAGAGGCTGTGAGAGAGGGGAAGGGCAGGGCAGGAGCGAGAGGGAGAGGCGGACAGGGAGGGAGCGAGAGGGAGAGAAAGGCAGGACCGGGAAGGGCGGGGCAGGAGTGCCTGCCGGGAGAGGCAGGAAGAGATGCAACAATTGAGGGATGAAGAGGCAGATAGAGGGTGGATACAAGGCTTGTCCCTTGAAGCATCGTATGAAGCATCGCAGCTCATACGAGCGGGGGGACGGTGGTGGTGGGAATGATGGTGGTGGTGATGGTTGGGGTTGATGATGGTGCTGAAGCTACTTACTTTATAGAAAATGTTTCCTGGATGCGGTGATTGGTAATGTGAAATGAGTGAGTTTTTGAGTTGAGACGTCTCAAAAGCGTTACCTGGATGCTGTGACTGGTAATCGAGCTCCAGGGCCCGCCGCGAGGTGATTTTTGAGAAGGTGACTTTTGAGTCGGTGACTTTTGAGTCGGTGACTTTTGAGTCGGTGACTTTTGAGTCGGTGACTTTTGAGTCGGTGACTTTTGAGTCGGTGACTTTTGAGTCGGTGACTTTTGAGTCGGTGACTTTTGAGTCGGTGACTTTTGAGTCGGTGACTTTTGAGTCGGTGACTTTTGAGTCGGTGACTTTTGAGTCGGTGACTTTTGAGTCGGTGACTTTTGAGTCGGTGACTTTTGAGTCGACTGAAAAGGTGACTGGTGGTAGTCGAGCTCCAGGGCCCGCAGTGCTACGTTGGCAGATACGAGTATCACGTTTTATACGCCAGCGTATTATACGCTGGGTATATACGCGGTACGCCAGGGGTGGCGTACTGGTGATACGTAAAAATACGCTGGGCGGGCAGGTAAAACTTTTTTTCCCGGGCAGGGCTAAAAAAAACCTGTTACAGGGGGGGGGGGGGGGGGTTATGTTTCCCAAAAACACGTCATAATTTAATTTCATAAATATCCAAAAATACATCTTCGAGGCTACTTCTCCCCACCCCCCATACATCCCCACCCCACCCTCTAGCTAGCTTCCCCACAGCCGAGTTCCTTGCGGGGCTTTTCCAACACCACCCCTGCCCCATACTCATCCGCCAGAACTGCATCCTCTCCTTCCCCCCCCAGCAGGTCATCCTCCTCCTCCTCGTCCATGTTGTAGCCGCGAGGGATAGGGGCATCCGGGATGTTACCGGGGACAACCGTGCTGCCCCCATCCTTCTTGTACCAATTGCGCACAACGTTCCAGTTGTGCGCAATGTAGACGAGGTCCGCACACTTGGCGGACCCAAGCCGGTTGCGGCGGGCGGTGTGGACGCCTTCCCACTGTGCCCAGCCACGTTCGCATGGGGAAGCCGAGACGGGCTGAGTGAGCACCCGGCATGCGAGGGTGGCAAGCTCAGGGTACTCGGTGCTGTGCCACGACCACCACTGCACCATGCTCATCTCCCCCTTCTTCACTGCCTCCCTTGCAGAGATGGCGGCCGGCGTGCCAAAGCTGCCCTCCATGTTGATGTAGGCCAGCAATGCCTCCTGCAGAACAAGGGAGGCGCGGCGAGGGGCGCCATCCTTGCCACGCCTGAAGGTTTTGTTGTCGTAGTGGCGCTCGATGTAGGCCTTGAACACTCGAGTGCACTCCACGTCGTTCCTGAAAATTCCCTCCACCTGGTTGGCCGGATTCAGGATCCGGCCAACCACATGCATGGGGCAGGCAAGTGAGTTGTCCCACCTGTCCTTCACAATCTTGGTGATATCAGCCTTTTCCGCCCTTGTCAAATAGTCCCCTGCCTCGTCGAACTTGTCATTGATGTCCTCGGTAAGTTGTAGCATGATATCATACATCTTACCCATCATCCCCTTCGCCGAGGAGTCCGTGGCCCGCATGGCCTTGTACGGCACCGCCATGAGAGAGGTAAAAAACACCGCCAGCCCCCACCACTCCTCATCCATCACGGCAGCCCTGAACTTCTCGGCTGCAGTCTTCCTGTCCTCGTCCGCCACTGCCCACTCATTCCACTCGTCGCTGAGAACCATCTGCGCCAGCCCACCCCGCACCTCGCACAGCCGGGACAGAGCTATGTACTGCATCCCGAACCTGGTCCCCGCGGGCTTGAGCACCTGTTTCCCCCCACCCTTCTTCATGTAAGCACGGGTGAAGTGGTGGTTGCGCACAAAGGTAATCATCATCCCCCCCTTCTCCACGAGCCCCTTCGCCCATCCCATCTTGCCCACGTCTTCCATCATCAGGTCCAGGACATGCGTGGCACATGGCACATGCTCAATGTGCGGCCATGTGCTCGCAATCTTCTTGGCTGCCGAGGCATAGTTGCTGCCGCCATCAGTGCAGACCGCCACCACATTCTCCGGCCCCACCTTATCAATGACGGGGCGGAGAAGGCTGGCGATGTACCCCCCGGTCTTCGACTCCATGTTGCAGTCCACCGCCTGCTCGAACACTGCGCCTGAGTCGTTGACAAGGAGCACGTTGGCCTGCGGGCGGCCACAACGGTCAGTCATCATGTCCGACGACACGGTGACCCCGTCCCGCTTCCAGCTGGCGGCAACGGGGGCGAGCGCCTCCTCCATTTTCTGCCGCACCTTCTTCAAGCCCGCCCCTCCAATGTAGCGCCTGTTGGGGGGGACGTACCCCGGTCCAGCGCGCGCAAAGCACTGGACCGCGTAGCGGAAGACCGGGTCATCCGCGATGCGCTCGGGAAGTCTTAACGCCGCGATCAAAAGGCAGAGGGCGTTATCCGCGTCCTCCTTGGCGCTCGTCGCCTCATCGCTGAAGAAGGACGTTATCTTCCCCTTCTTCTCTGAAGAACCAGTGACCGCGCCCAGCGCGGAGTCAATTGCTGCAGCGGCCGCCCCTCGTTTGACGCCCTGCTTCTCCACCTTCTCCTCGTACATGCCGCGCACTTCTTCACTGACTGCCGCGGGACACCTTCTTGCAAAGCCGGACAGCGCGTTTCTCCTGCCCTTTCCATTTCGCAAGGTGAATCGCGCAGCGATTGGTTCCGCCCTCAAACGTGAAGTCACAGAACTTACACATCTTGGGAGTGCCTTTAGTATGGTACGGAATAAGAAAATGTTTCAGAATGGGGTTCGAAAGGCCAGCCTCGACAGGCTCCGTATTGATTGCGCCATTAGACGCGTTAACAGATCCAACATTGCTCGTCGCAGTAGGAGGGGTGGAGTTAGACGCCATGAGGACGAACGGGAGAAGAGAGCTACGGGAATAAAACGAGCACCGCAATTGAAAAACAAAGGAACTTGTCATCCATTATATGAGGAGACGAGTTGCTGAACAACATTTGAGAGGGATGGTTGGAGATGAGAGGTTTGGTGGGGTGGTGTGTGGTTGGGGGGTTGGAAGGTTTGGAACTCGAATTTTGAATTTCAGAACTGGGTTGGGCGATGTGCGACTTCGCGGTAACAAATCGCGAAGTCGCAAAACCTTCGCGAAATTTTTCAATGTCGTTTTTTTTTTTTTGACGGTCTGCTCGGGCGTATTTCCAAGAAATACGAGCGTATTGGCGTACCACGTACATACGCCAGCGTATGTACGTGGTACGCAACCCTGCTCAGGGCGTATCTGCCAACGTAGCCGCAGTGTCCCCTGTAACAACGCAGCTCTAATGGTGGTGGTGGTACGGGTGCTGAATCCTTCCTAACGTTACTTACGTTAAAGAAAATGTTTCCTGGATGCTGTGAGTAGTGCTAGGGCTCTCAGGCTCCCCTCGTGCCTTGTAGCAACGGAGCTCATACACCCCGGGGGATGCTGGTGATGGTTCAAGTGGTGCTGGTGGTGAAGGCGATACTGATGTTGGTGAAGCGGAGGAAGAGGTTGAAGAGCTTGCTGCAGCCTCTGCCACTGCAGCCATGCACTTGGAATCTTCCAGGAAAATGCTCGATTCCTACAGCCCAGAAGCATATGAGAGCAAACGGGGAAGAAGAAAAGACATGGAGGTGGCTCCATATGGACGTGGGAGACACTCCATATGCTTCTTGGCTGGAGGTGGAGGCCAAGAGACGATTTTTCTTCACTCCAGCCAGAATCAAAAGCCACAGCCACAGCCACAGCAACTACACTTGCGAGGCCCCTCAAAAGACGATTTTTTTAGGCACCTCAACAGTCGTAAGAGTCACAGCCACATCAGCCACAATTGATCCAGAACAACAACCCTTTGAGGGCTTTTTTAACCCAAAAGTCGAGCGAGAGAAAGATAAATGACAATGAGCGGCGGCGAATGAGTCACAGTAAACCCAAGCTTGCCCGGCTACCCAAACTATCCCAGCTGCAACAGATGGAAGGATTACAGGGGAGAATCGAACAAGGCCCAACAAGTATGGCAAAAGAACAGTCAAGTCGACTGCATCGTCACCAGTGACTGAAACGCCGGCTTTACAAGAGGGAGGTACTCCTGAGCCCACTCGCTGCTGTTCCCCATGCCTGCTGCGTATTGAAGTGAGTCAGGAATGCTATCCATTCGACCACCCTGGTGAGTGGGTTCACTCTAATGCCCCCCACGGCCTTACCTGCGATTGGAATGCTGGCTTCACCAGAGGCAGGTACTCATGAGTCCACCCCCTGCTGCCCGCCATGCCTGCTCTCACTGCGTCCCTCTCCTCCCACCCGCCTGTGTGCGTCAAGGGGGAAGGGGGAAGGAGGAAGGGGGAGGAAGGTGGTTCTAAGTCCTCCCTACTTCTTAAGCTGTTATGAGACCACCCCCTGCTGCCCGCCATGCCTGCTCGCACTGCGTCCCTCTCCTCCACCCGCTTGTGTGTGTTGGGCGGGTTGGCAGGGGGAAGCAGGAGTGAGGAGAGCGGAATTTGGAGTGGACTCAAAAAGAGGGGTGACTTTCGAGTCCACTCCCTGCGAATGTAACCAGCAGCTTTGACAGGTTACCAGGGCTAGAAGTGGGTACCATGGTATCAGTAACAACTGGCATCAAAGTGGAGGTAAAAATGGTTACAAGAGTAACAATAGAAGTGGATAACAGAGTAACAATAGAAGTGGTTACCAGAGTAACAATAGAAGTGGTTACCAGAGTAACAATAGAAAATATTACCAGGATAGCAGTAGAAATGATGCACCTCGTTCAGCACTCCTCCAGTCTCCACCGTCCAAAAACTGATGGGGGGCGGGTAGGAGAGGAGTAGAGAGGAGTAGAGAGGATTAGAGAGGTGTAGAGAGGTGTAGAGAGGTGTAGAGAGGTGTAGAGAGGTGTAGAGAGGAGTAGAGAGGAGTAGAGAGGAGTAGAGAGGTGTGGAGAGGAGTGGAGTGGGGGGGAGAGAAGGGGAGAGGTGATGCACCTCGTTCAGCACTCCCCCAGTCTCCATGGTCCAAAACTGATGGGTGAGGGAGGAGGGGATGCAGAGGGGAGAGGAAAGGAGGAAAGAGGAGGGAGGGGAGGGGAGGGGAAGCGGAGGGGAGAGGTAAGTAGAGGTTCAAAGGGAAGCCATTGCCAACACACCAGTGTCCAAGCACTACCCAAGAAATGATCCCCCTCACAATTCATCCCCCATGCCCGTGTACCACCCCTCTTAATCACTCCAACCGAACACAACCTCGCATCGCTCCCCAATTCCCCCTACCGCCTAATCCCCCATCTTCCATCCCCCCTTACTTCCCCCCTCTCCCTCCCCACCCTTCTTTCTGCTGTCTCCCCCTCCTTCCCCGCCTACCCCGCTTCCCCGCCTTCTTATTAACACCTTCCCCGCCTACCCCTCCTCCCCCCCTTCCATCCCTTCCCCCTCCTCCCCCTCTCCCCCTCCCTCCTCCACCCCCCTCCTTTCTGCCACCTACCGCGCCCTCAGCCCTTTCCCCATTCCCCCCTTCCTCCCGTTTACCCCATTCCCCCCCGTGCCGCCTACCCGCGCCATCCGGGGCTCAGCTCTTTCCGCAGCGCCGCGAATCGCCGCGTCGCGTCTAAATAGGTCTTTAACTCGCCGGGACTATGCGGTACGTGCGCAGCTCGAAAATCGGCGGGCATCTCGGGCCGCCCGCTGCCGTCGCGACTGCTGCTGACAATGATGCTGACGATGCTGCTGCTTCTGCTGCTGCTGCTGCCATTGTATCTGCTGCTCCTGCTGATGGCGCTGCTGACGAGGACGAAGACGGTGATGACGACAGCGGCGCTTGCGTGGCAGCTTCAGATTGGCTGGCGCATCTTCTCGCGCCGTGATTCGCGGGAACTCCTATGCCGAAGTCAAAACTTCTATCAGAGACAAAGGCGGCGGGAAATACGGAAGAATCGCCGGGGAAACAGCCGACGGAAGCATTGCCGGAAAATACGGCGGGAACGGCGGCGGAGGAGGAAACGAAGGGCTGGGATGTGGAGCAACTTAAAGCCTTTCCGCCTAAGGCGGGTATTGATACATCTTGTCGTGAAGTGGCTACTATATGACCCGCTTTTGATCCACGAAACCACTCATGCGACAAGTTCTGAGTCCCTGATTGACCCGATCGCGCGAGTACTGCGGTCTCTCCTGCGCGTGCGAAAGCGCTCACTCCTTTGGCAGTAAAGCTGCTACAGTAAATGCTTCTGGATTCAGTGCTACTAATTTTAGTACATCCGTGATTGAGTGCCCTCGTCAGGGTTGCCGCGGCCTGGAAAATACTCTTCGCCATTTCGAACGCCTCGCTCGCTCGGCCTCCCGGATACGGAATCTCGGACGAGAGTCTGTTCCGTATTCGAGTTTAGAGACGTCTCAAAACTGGATTCCGAATTCCGCATTCAAACGCCTCGCTCGGCCTCCCGGATACGGAATCTCGGAACTTCAGACGAAAGCTCGAGCAGCGCGGATATTTGCGAGCACCGCGTTGCTCGGGGCTGTCTCGAACCGCGCAAATTCGCGATTATTCAACTAAGGCGGTCTCAATATCAGTTTCGTGGTAAGGGCCAGGAGGAAGAGTTTGCTTTGGTGGTTTCTTTGCGTTTTGAATCGTTTCGTTATTAAGTGGGAGCGGTTGAGTAAGGTTTTGAGCATTTCTAGGCTCAGCAGCAGATCCAGGCTGGTGGCTCCACTACAGGCAAATGATTTTGAAATAAACAGAACTACACGAGTGAGCAGGTGATCCACTCAACAATATATGGAGCTTTAGGTGAGTTATCTTGCCACAATGAGTCAACTTTTCCTTACTTTGCGTCACCCTGCATACCGTATGCAACACTGCTGCCCACGACCATTTTCCGTCACGTTACAATTTCACGACGTTCGCCTTGACGTTCGCGCCATCGCGTCCGAGCCTTACGTATCGGTTGGTAACCCATAGTCCGACCCTAAGCCACAGATATTTCCCAACCTCGGCGTTAGGACCGTAGAGCACCCCACATTTTCGCGTGTTACAGTTACCCCTAGTTTCGCTACGTAATATCTCTTATGCCTCCACTCATGTTCAATTGCTCGATAGTGCAATCTTCGTTCACTTACTCAATCGACCTTATAACACTTTGTATCCAAAGCCACTTTATTTGCGGTCCGCATACGCTTCGCTTCCACTCCAGTTCATACTTTTGGACGTTCTTCAATGCCCAGTACCGCTGTTAGCGGGCTCTCTCGCAAGCACTCACGGCAACGACTGAGTTTGCCACCTAGTTTTTGCCCGACACCTCTCTCCATGGCTGGACGTATCTAGCCCGAAGAACTGACCCAGGAGCGCCCCGACATGTTAACTCGCTAGCTGCACGAACACGCTCTCGAAATCGCGACATTGACAGCCAAAGCGAATCAATCCAACATTCGACGGTGCAAGCTCTGCATGCAACACTATCAGAAGTAGAACAGCGCAAGGCTCGCAGACATGCGCAAGGCAACCCCAGACACGAAACGCAAGGGGAACCGATCCAGAGACGGGTCCGTGAAACGTGTGGGCGCGAAACACAAGGCCACCGGTTCAGCTGATGCGCGGCGTAACGGACCACAAAGGCCCACAGAAAATGAGGTGCACAGGCATGGACCATCGAGGTATGGGCGATCTCCGTGACCAAGCCTATGCGGTGCTCACCAACCCCATTCTGCTGTGGTGAGTCTGGGAGCGTGTAGGACTGGGTGATGCCATGTTTGCGACAGAACTCATCAAGTCGGCCAGAGCGAAACTCAACTCCAGGTCGAAGTGTAGACGAAGCACAAGCAGGCTGCGCTGGACGCGTGTGACCACTATTCACGGGATCAGAGCACCAGGCACGTCGGCCTTCCGCTCCAGGGGAAACACGTGGTGTAGCGTGAGAAGTCATCCACAACCACGAGGAAGTAGCTCTCCAAGTGTGACCGAGAGACCGGGACAGGGCCCCAGACGTCCATGCGCGAAGTCCGAAGAGGTGGCATGGCTCAAGTGAGGAGGAATGAGGGGCGACGCGCTGCTGACCCTCGACGCGAAAGTGCACGGCGGAGCAGGCGACGGAAGGAGCGGAGGAAGCGACAACAAGACCGTGCCTAGCCATGTGAAGGAGACGTGTTGGTGCAGGTTGACCTAGACGATGGTGCCACAGGAGGGAGGGTTGGTTGAATGACCGACAGGAGCACGACACAACAACCTGACCTGACGCAAGTACCTGGGGGGACGCGGTAAAACGTGGCCAGACGTGATGAAGGCTTGCGGGAAAACGTGGACAGACGTGCCCGGTGGTAGCGCCCGTACAGGTCGCAAACCTCTTGTGTGCAGGAAAAGCGATTGTGATCCCATGGTCCTGAAGGTGTCCAACACCCACCATGTCCTTGGAGAACGAGAGGATGTGGAGACCTGTGAGGGAACAGGAGGGGCAATCTAGACATGGAGGCGAGGTAATACTGCAAGCGACGGCTGGTCCAGGCGTGGAATCAGCCAAAGCAATTGCAACTGGGGTGGGAAGCGGCGTGACCGTGGTGCAGTCACGAAAGAAGCACAGGGATGCGCCGGAGTCGAGCATAAAGGAGAGTGACACGGCAGCAGAAGTCACACCTGAGCTAGCAACAATGCAAGCACCTACACTAGAAACAGGCAAAGATCCTAGTCTAAGTACACGCGAGTAAAAGGATCAAGCAGTACTATAGTCAATAACACATCGCAGAATAGACATCATCCATGGTCATAACAAACAACTAGTAACCACGGCTCAACAAAGCGGGCCTGTGCAGAGGGATCCCCTGAGGCCCTAAACGGTCGCGAAAGAGGACGTCGAGGAGACTGAAGCAGCGCAGAGCAGAGTGGTCGAGGCGCCCACACGTAGTGCATGTACCCGTACCAGTCAGGATCCGGTACTTGCAGGGGCCAACGTCGCGGCCACCGCGACATGCCCCCTAGCTGCCAGGGCCACTGCTACGGCCGACGCTCCCCGGACCACCAGGTCCCCATTGCTACTGAAGGCACCACTTCTGAAACTGCTCCTGCACCTGCTGCTGCTGGTTGGGTCGCTGCTGCTGCCTCCTCCAGCCTTCCAGACCTTCTCCCCTACCCCGAAGATGACCACTCTTCGGGTGCTGCTGCACGTCGCCGCTCAACGTGACTACGAGCTTCACTCTCTTGACTTCAGCACAGCTATCTTACAGGGCAGCCTGCACGAGGAGATCTGGCTGCGCCGCCCACCTGGCTTCACTGGGTCGTTTCCTGCAGGTACCCAGTGGAGCCTCCGGCGGCCATTCTATGGTCTCCGCCAGGCGCCTCGCGAGTGGCACGACACACTGAGGACGACTTTGCGGCTCTTGGGCTTGCTCCTTCGACTGCTGACCCGTAGCTGTTTCTACGCACCGACACTTTGTTGCCGCCGTTCTACATCCTCGTGTACGTCGACGACTTGGTCTTTGCCACTGCTGACACTGAGGGACTGGCCCTAGTGAAGTCGGAGCTGCAGAAGAGACACACGTGCACAGACCTGGGTGAGCTGCGCAGCTATCTTGGCTTGCAGATCACCCGGGACAGAGCACGGCGCATCATTACCTTGACTCAGTCACACATGGTGCAGCAGGTCCTTCAGCGCTTCCGCTTCCAGTACTCCTCGCCACAGTCTACTCCTCTGCCTACCGATCACTCGCTCTCTGCTCCACCTTCGGACGAGTCCGTAGAGCCGAGTGGCCCGTATCCAGAGCTTGTGGGCTGCCTCATGTACCTGATGACCTGCACTCGACCTGACCTTGCCTACCCTCTTAGCATCCTGGCACGCTACGTTGCGCCCGGGAGACACCGACCAGAGCACTGGGAGGCCGCTAAGAGGGTGTTGCGCTACTTGTGCAGTACGTCGGGCATGGGGCTCATGCTTGGAGGACGGGGTCGAGTTGTCCTCACTGGACACGCAGGCGCTTCTTGGGTTGACGACTTGGCTATGCATCGGTCGTCACAGGGTTACACTTTCATCCTAGGCTCCGGCTCTGTTTCTTGGCGGTCTACCCGCTCGTCTTCTGTTCTCAGTTCCAGTTGTGAGGCTGAGATACGCAGGGGCCATGGCTGCATAGGAGTTACGCTGGCTCACCTACCTGCTGACCGACTTGGGAGATCCGCCTCGTTCTCCTCTAGTTTTGTACGTCGACAACAAGGCCGTGATTGCCTTGTGTCAGGAGCACAGGCTGGAGCACAGGACGAAGCACATCGCTCTGCGTTACTTCCTTGCTCGAGAGTTGCAGCAGCGTGGTCAGCTTTGTCTTGCTTACGTGGCCTCTCGGGCCAACACTGCTGATAAATTCACCAAGGCACTCCAGCCTTGTGATCATCAGCGTTTCTATACGGTTTTAGGCCTTGTGCCTACTTGGTCTCACTTGCTCACTTCTTGACTTTGCTTGTACTGTGATTTTATACATATACCTGCATGCTTATACTTGCTAGGTTGTGAACACTGTACTGCTTGTTCTCCATTATATAACTCTGCATGTGAACTGGCCTTGTGGCCATTTGCTTGTGCTCAGAGTGTGTGGTGACTTCGTGATCCACCCTGAGCTTGCTTTGCTTTTCTTGATGGTCTTGTGACCCCTTGTTCTCCCCCACTTTGCCAATGGGGGTGTGTCAAACTGTCATGTTGTGTGT